CCCCCACCCCTCAGCCTACCGACGACGGCAATCTCTGATGTAATGATGCTTTTAAAAGACTGTGCATTAAATGGGAAAGGAAAATTTTGCATCTAGGAGCGAGCGGGAAATCACTTGCGTACTAACTTGTACTAACGGTGTAATAATGCGTCTTAGTGGCAAAAAGCAAGCGTTGTAGACATTTAGAAAAAATTGAGAAAAATTGCTCTAAAAATAGGATGTACTAACGTGTACAACTGTCATAAATTAAACTGTGGCTCAATATACGTTATGTGAATGATCGGGAATAACTAAGAAAATAATCAATGCGTAAAGTGTAGTTACATTACTGCTCGGTTTTGAATTTCTATATAAAAATCGAGTACGATGAGTAAGACGTTTCTAACGATTCGCAACAAATCTGACTGTGAAGAAACAGAGTGCGCGTCGGGCTGTGGGGGCGTCAGCACCAGCCAGTCATAGTTGGGCTGCGAAATGTTTTTGCGCGTCTCGCACCGGCCGCTGTCAAGACTGACGCAGCCGCTGCCTGCCGTTAGCACCTTTGAGAGTATCGACTTTGGGCTCACCTCAGAGGCGACGCTGCTGCTGCTGCTGCTGCGCGCGGGCCGGAGCCGCCCGCGGCCGTCGGGCCCAGCCTGGCACCCTGCGCATGGTGGCTGCGGGCGGGGCGGCAAACCTGGAACAAACAGAAACCAGTTACAGAAAATGATATGTACACAGTGTATAGAGAAAAGAGTATGCGAGAAGCGCACAACAAGAGTTAGTGCCTCCCTCTTCAGTTCCCTCCGCCCCGGCCGCGAGGCCCCCGCCGCTGCGTTCACATTCGGATTGCGTTGCATCCGGCGGGGTGAATGTGAATGTGGGGCCGTGGTGATCGTTGGGGCCTTTGTGTCGCCTCATAACGCTCATAACCCACTCGCGCCAATCTCTTTCTCTCTCTTTTTATTTTTTTAACTTCACTGTGTCTAATTAAATATCTTCCGCACGCTTTGGTGCGTTTTGAAGCGATTCTTTGTCGTTCTTTGTCCTAGCTGCGTGTGCGTGTGTGTGTGTATGTGTGTGTTTGTTTGTGTACTTGTGTGATGATTTGTTGTTCCGCTTTTCTTTTCAGAGTGCTTATTTCACCTCTTCTGTACCGCCTCCTCCCCCAGTTCCTGCCCTCCCCCACCCTCTCCCTGCCTGCACCCTCTCCCGTGCGTGGCCGCCGCCGGCGTCCCGAGCTCAAACGCGAGCGAGCATAACTGGTACGAAGAGTAGCGCCTGGAGCAGCGGGTCATGCACGAGCACGGCTGTAACTTCGGCTGCTTCTGCAAAGTCTCGAGATCCTTATGGCTGTGATCATTCTCAAACTAACGCCTCGGCGCGCGGGTGTCCCCTTCTTCTCCCTCCCTCTCTCCCACTGCTCTTTCCCTCTCCCTGACACACACCCACTATCAAACTCGTGTGAATGGGGGCTCCCCCGCAATGGAACTCCCACTCCTCAGTATACGACGCTCTTGGTGTATGATGTGGTGTTGCAAAACATTTCAACCCAGGCGTACATGAGAAACATGCGCTGCGGCCATAAAACTCTTGCGCCCTCTCTCTCTCTCTCTCTCTCTCTCTCTCTCTCTCTCACTCACTCACTCACTCACTCCCTCCCTCCCTC